CCTGCTGCTAATCAAGAGTAACAAGATAGTAAAAGAAGATATGTGACCCATTTTACTAGAAGGCAGGACAGGAAAATAGTTCTATTGAACATTGTCCTCAGTTATCTCCTTGGGGTAAATCTTTCAGTGTGGTTGAAGTTGTTCCTGATATTGAGTTGATGAACATATATGTATGCTGGCAATTTTGAATGAGAGCTGTGGATTCTCATTTCTATTCTTAAATTACTGGAGATTTCATGTGCTGTTTGTGTAGACAACATCCCGACACAAAAAGGTGGGATGGAGAAATTGCTGCAAAACTGACATCTCTTGTTTGCATAGCAAAGAAATTATCAAAATGCTGAACAGCTAACTTCAAAGACTGACCTTCTTAATTCTGGGGCAGTAGTGCCCCACTGTCAAAGTGGCATTTCTACAGTCATGGAGAAGAATTTTCAAAATTTTTTATTGCAGACCTTTTATGAAATATTTATTTTATAAGAAAAATCTGCGATGGGATTCTGACGTACAATTTACCAAAGTTGATAAGGTCTGAAATCAGTGGAATTAAACTGAAACTAGAATCCGATTGGCATAGGTTTTTCTAACTTGCAACACCTGTAAAACACACAAAACTGATGCTGCAAATATCCTCACATGATTCCAACTGGCAAGTTCCCAATCGAGAAAGATTTAGAAACTCTGGGAAAACACGTGACTTCACTTTTGCATGTATCCAAGTTGGAAATGTCACAGAACATCAAGAACTAACAGAAAGCCACTCCTGAATACTGTATGCTATCTTTAGGACCAGCTAAACAAATACAAGTTAATATGGGGGTTTTGGTTTTGTTGTTTCTCACAGGTTGAGTTTATAACTAATTCTACAGAAATCTAAGGGCAGTCATCCATCATTCACTATCTTTGTGCATATCTTAGTTGTTTTCCTTCATGTTTTATTACCAAGAGTCTTACAAATACATTTATCAGCTACATAATAAATTTTCTGTCTTTTTCTCTATGCAGGAGATTTTGCTGTGCTGCTAAGTACAGGGCTCCCCACGAAGATCGCAATTTTGATGAATTTTATAAGTGCACTAACAGCATTCTTAGGGCTTTATATCGGCCTTTCTGTATCAACGGACTCGTGCATTCAAAACTGGATTTTTACTGTTACAGCTGGAATGTTCTTGTATTTATCTTTAGCAGAAATGGTAAGAACTTCAGTGTTGTTATATTTTCCTTTTAACGTAGCCACGTCACAGACAAGTGTCAGACAAATGCAGGTGGATTAACTTGGAGGGAAAAAGTCTATCATCTGCCCTGTGTGTTTACAGTGCTTAGAAGAATAGTCTGATTTTGTTTGGTGTCACTGCTATGATAGGTGTAATTAGTAATAAAAGGGTTATAAAAGCTATTAAAAGGACAACATAAAGGACTTTTACAAGGAAAAAGGTAAACAATACATTTTTAGGCCTGAAAGAGTTATTTAGTATAACAAAAAGAAACATTTGAACCTACAGGGGTTTTTTAAGTCTTGAAGAAGTTGGTTATTTTTTTCTTTTTACTCCTCTTTTCAACAAAGGGGAGTAAAAATACTTTACAAAATACAATTACTCTGTATTTTTCACATGTGATTTCAACAAAAATTTAGTGTTTCTGAACTAAAATGCAAGATGCTTATCCTGTGCTCTTCCTGGTCAGCCTTTCTTTCTCAGAAAGGTTTGGATGACCTCCTAAGCAATTTAAAACCCATCAGATTGCCTCAACATTTTCATATCTGTCCGACATTTATCATACTCCCAGTTCAATAGCAATGATCACACTATAGAAAAATAAAGTGTAAAGATATACATTAGGAGGAAGGCCTAAGGACTGTGGAAGAATGTGGTGGAATCGTAACTCATGCAGATCCCTCAGGCCACATCATTTATTGAAGAGAAGCTGTTACACTTGTAGCAATACAGAACTTAATTACCTTGCCAACTTATTTTAAGTATCACATGGCCCTTTAACCAACATGTATTAATGTAAAGTTGCTCCCAAGCTTCTGAACCAAGACCGAATATTTTGAGTGATTAGATCAAGAGGTGGGGAAAAAAAGAGCTCTATCTCTTCATAAATTATTACTGTGTTTTTCCCAAGCCTGGTTGTCTCTCTGTTCTGTTCGCTACTAACTCTCACCTCATGTCTAAGACATCATTTACCAGGTTCAAGTATAATACTTGAAACCTGATATGTATTATAACCTATTTAATAATATAGTTGTAATAATTGACCTTGGGTGTATTTTAAACTATTTTTGCTACTGTAACAAAATTAAAGTGAACATAAAATGCTCCTAAGAGCTTTTGAGGGAACTGCCAAGGGATTGTGGATGTGTCAACAGTCCTGACTGAGGTGATAAATAAGAGACAAGCACACTGTGCACCAAGTTAGTTCTTGTTCTGACGCAGAGAAATTTGGAAGCGAGGCTGCCTGCATACTCAACAGGCATGGTTTTACTAATGTGGATAAGAATGATTTAGGAGTATTTTTCCTTCAGTGTAGGATCAGCATCCATCAGGGATTCACAAGCTCCCAGAACAACACCATGTTTTTTGCTATGTCTTCAAAGCAATGTGCTGGCTGTAAATCCCAAGAGATTACACCAGTCCAGGTAGACAGGGCTATGTTTTCCCTTGTTTTCAAATTGTCACCATAATCTTGTTCTTGATGTGAAGAGGAGAAAAGGAAGAGAAAGGGAAAGATTTTCTTTCTCTCACCTCCCTTTTACTAATAGGGATTCCTATCGGCCTTTCTCTGAATTTTGTTGAAAGAATTACCATTGGGTCACTTACCTATGTTTGTCAGAACTGCAAGTGTTGAATATCATAGGGATTATTTTACTGAAAAAAATATTGCTGTAGCACTGCAGGAATCTAGAGATCTGAAAAGTTTCATATGTTTGTATGGCATATGTCAAAAGAAAATTAGCCATGCTTTATGTATTTTTCAACTCTCTGCACAGAAATAACTGCTATTCTCTGTTGCATTCTCATCCACAAACAAAAATCATCAGTGTTTCTGCTCATGGGGTATGAATACTTACTGGTGTACAAAGCTTAACTATATTTTTCAGTATTTGCTTTATGGGCTTTCACATATCCATGTGCTCATCAGAGCAGCAGTTAAGTAAGAGAGCAGCAGTTAAATAAGACTGAACAGCCTCACTGGTTTCTGCATTGAGGAACACTGAGGAGTATGAGGTGGAGATTCATCAGCAGGACAGCTGCCGCAGTCAAGGTTGCATAAAAGTACTTCTGTGGTTAATTAAAGATTTTTCGTTTCTACAAATGGCATTCTAACTCATCAACAAGCAGAGTTTGTTGGAAAAAATGAGGAAAAAATGAGGAAAAGGACAAAAGATACAATTATTTATATCTTTCATCCTTTTTCACCAAGAAATTCTGCAAAACTTCATCTTCCCAGTAACTGGGGAAGGTGGAAGGGAGGAGTATTTTGTCTTGTAAATGTGTATGCACAGGTGTAACATTGCAACCTAAATTGTTTGTTGCTTCAAGATATGCATGTGACTAAACACCTGTAACACTGTGGGTTTAGTTGTTGTTTAACTGTCGTGGGTTAGGTTGACCCCCCCCCCACAGCCGGTCACTCCCCCTCCC